CCCCCCCCCCCCCTTCAGAATTCGTCGGTATTTAATCAATTCGGCTAACATGAGTTCTATACAACATCAGAACGTTTTCTAGCAGCAACACATTCAAGAACATGTATATGTATCATGATAATGTGTATATTATCATGCTCATAACCATGCTTAACTCAGTAGTGAGTTCTGTACAACATCAGATCACTTTAAGGTAGCTCACATTCAAGAACATGTACTGCCTCTGCATGCTCATAACCATGCTTAACTCAGTAGTGAGTTCTGTACAACATCAGATCACTTTAAGGTAGCTCACATTCAAGAACATGTACTGCCTCTGCATGATCTAACCATGTTTAACTCAGTAGTGAACTCAATGTTTCAGGGAAGGAGACCGGTTTCTTGAAGCTTGCGGTTGTAACAGAGAATGGCCATCAGGACGTGGCATCTTCCACAATGCTAAGAAGACATTTTTGGTGTGGGTGAATGAAGAAGATCAACTTCGTATCATCTCGATGCAGCAAGGAGCTGACATTGGCGCTGTGTTTGAACGACTGAGCCGAGCTGCTAATCATATTGAATCCGTGGCAAAGTTCTGTCATGATGAGCATCTTGGTTATATTACTTCATGTCCTACCAACCTTGGAACAGCACTCCGAGCTTCTGTTCACATCAAGCTACCCAAGCTGTCAGCTCGCAAGGATGAATTCCAAGCCATTGCTGACAAGTATTACGTTCAAATTCGTGGAATCCATGGCGAGCATTCTGAATCAGCCGGGGGTGTTTATGATATCTCAAACAAGCGACGCCTGGGAAGATCAGAAGTGCAGCTAGTGCAAGATATGTACAATGGAGTGAAGGCGATGATCACACGAGAGAAGGAGCTATGAACTCATTAGTTAGCGGTGTTAACCAATTTGTTAACCTTGTGTGATTTGACTAGTTTTATATTGCTTCATATGGAAATATTGCGTTGTATAGAAGTTTTTCATTAGTTCTTGTTAAATTTAATAAAGAAATTTTACCTGAGTTTGGTATTGTTGTTTTCACTAAGTTTCATGCCTTCTTACAATTGCTCCAGTTTACGAAACAAGAACAGAGTGATTCCTTGGAAACGTGGCAATAGGAGTGTTAGATATACCTATAAAGGGGAACCAATTCCTGGTGTTGAGTGCCTTTTTATTTATTTATTTTCTCCAAGCGTAGTAGAAAAATACTCTGAATAATATAAACGATACATTTACAAAATCAGGGTTAGGAACCTACCAGGAACTATAAGACTTTTATTTAAGGCCCCTAGATTCATGATGTTTTAATGAAGAATATGTCAGTTGGAATAATTATGAACACAAAGAGTCTTAAAGCTGTACTGATGAGCTGTTTGGATTATTTTTGTAAAGGGTAAATAGGTAGGGCTGAGGGTGCTAATAATCTTTTCCTACAACTGCACGAGTGTTAAAGGTTTACTATAGGATACTCAATGGCTGCCCCCATACGACCTACGTCTGACGTCTCTTGTATGTAGAATGCAGGGCGTCTATTAAATACGAGGCGTTTATTATCGAATGGATGTTTATTGTATCATTTATATATAGTGAAGACAACATTTATATTTTCGTCTGCACTGTTACAACCACACTTTTAAAAGTTAGATAAAGTTTGTTAAAATATGTCCTTTACATATCTGTCGTACTATATACATTTTATATATACACAAAACCACATTTATACGTACTAGTAATATATAGCGACCTCGTACCCAGTGTCTTCACCTGATCTTCACACTCTGGAACAACGAGAAGACTGGGGTACGAGGTTGGCTGAAAATCCACTAGAACACATTTCATAAATTTCGTATGAGCCTTCTAAAGCTCAAGTTTTTATGAGAGTGGAAAAAGTTTATAGGATATTGCCTCGTATTTGATACAGGCTTGTTATTACCATTGCGTTTTCTGTGGTCAATGTGTGACACTGTCAACCTCGTTTAAACTTTTTCTGTCTGAAAAGATGACTTGTAAGAAACATGAATATATTAGTTTATGAAAATGTATAATTTACTAGGTAGAGTCAGTCTGTTTGAGAGTTTTACGTGAGGACTTCTTTACAAGTTTGACATCATGGTTCTCGGTATACCAGACGAACATGGTTTGTGACGTCAAATCCACAGCCGCTATGATAAACCTCACGTGCACACGTGTTCTCAACGCGGGACGTCCACGATCAGTCGCCACGATTTTGTACTCAAATCTTCTCAGTGGAGAACTGCTGCTTTCATTACAAAACTCATGAAGTCCTTTCAAAACTTTCACCTTACCGCTGTGTTTTTGGACCGTGAAATACGGGTTCGCGGGCTCAAGTTTGTACATCACTTGTGCATTCTTGCCTTCATCTTGATCATATGTATCAATACGATATAAGACACTCCCGGGTTTCACATTACAGGGGACACTTATCGTATAAGCTGGGTGACTAAACCGTGGGGCGTGGTCATTAATGTCGAGTATTCTTACAACAACAAAACTTCGCGCTTTTGTCCACTTTTTCTTTTCGTTCAAATGTTTCGCTTCAATCTCCAATAAATATTCTGAAACAGTTTCTCTGTCCAAAGATGCGTTCACGGTCAATTCTCCGCTCGTGCTGTTCATTTTAAATGTTGGATGTTCTGATTTTAAGTTTTCAGCGACAATGAAGAAGAGCATCTTTTGACCATGTCTTTTCGCCAAGGTTGCTTTCACTTTCGTTACCAGTGTCCCAATAGCCACGTCTTCCTTGACATAATATATCTGTTGATAACTATCGTAGAATATTTCTAAATGAAAGAAATTCAAAATGAGATAATATACACAGCTTTTCCAAGACTGCCTACCTTTGCCTTTAAGTACCCATAAATCATACATGCACTAATTGCGAATTTGATTCTTTTCAGCATGGGAAAGCAAACCAAACTTTTTGTAAATTTCTAATCCCAATTAAACCAAAATGTTTGCCCTTGGTGTGCCACAAATTTTCGTATTAAATCGTGTGATAATTTTTGAGTTATGTTTGAACAATATGTTTGAACATATTGTAAAATTGATTTTTTCTCTGTTGGTGTAATGTATTCAGTGGCCAGGCATATTTTTCAAGCTTGCCCGGTGTGGATATACACTCAAGCATCATATTGTAAAATTGAAAAGAAATTTCCTAGACACGCACCAACTAACCTTTGTGACAGGTTCGTCTTGTTGAGTCCAATTTATATCCAGTTGGACACAGGCACGTATAGGAACCTCTTGAGTTGCGACATTGATGACTACATCCACCATTGTGTTTGAGACATTCGTTCTCATCTAAATATTTACCATTGATTACAATTAACCGTCTTTATTAGACTTAAATTAGGAATAAATTGGAAACTAATTATACGTAAATTAGAGAGAAATGGAATTATACGAAGTAAATTAGAACGGTAATTTATTAGAAGATCGTCTTCTCACCTCGACAGCTTTTCTCGTTGTAAGCTAATCTGTATCCTCTTGGGCAGACACAATGATAGCCGCCTGCTGTATTGACACACTTGAACTCACATTTCACCTGCCTACTGGAACATTCATCTATATCTGAACAAGAGAAAACCATGTTTACTAACCATTCAACTTTATATGTTCTTCAACTAATTTATGTGTTTACAAAATCATGTCAAGGAGTATCGTCGATTGTAGGAAAATAGCATGCTACTTAGTGTGTCCTTATAGACGTCCTGGAGCAATTAGAATACCCTTGATTTCTTCTAATTCATTCTTACCTACACATCTGCCGGAATTCTTTCTTCCTCGTAGTCTATATCCATCAGGACAATCGCACATGTAACTGCCCACTGTGTTCCTGCACAGACTGGGAAACTTACACACTTCTTTTCGACATTCATTCACATCTAGAGAGAGAAAAAACATGTGTTTCATAAACCATCTCTAAGAATTCAATTGAACTCCTTCATACCACGAATGATCGAAACACGTATTATTTCACACTTAGCACGATCCAAGCACGCAATCTTACCAATAGCACGATAAGTTGCAAAGAATCCTTTTGCAATTCCCGCATCATCACTTCGAAATATCAACCACAATTCATTCGTTGATGACGTCACACCTCTCTGTCTTTTCTTTCCACAAAATAACTTTGTGTTTTTCTGAGATTTATCAAACGCAACAACCAGTGCATCTTTGTGACATAATGTTGAATCTTCGACGTGGAAATCTTTGCGAAAACGAATTCGAATACGATATCCTTTTGGAACACGAATGTGCCAACTGCTTTGTACATTGTTCGTGTAGTTTCGTGGGTATCCTGGTGAATGGAACGTGCCAAAACTCTTCGTCAAAATGGCTGATGTACGGCATTTTCCTGCGAGGAAAATTATAAAAATTACTTCAAAATCTAGCGGATCGAAAATATGTACGGCAAAATTGTCAATACATCTGAGGCTCAACGAGCATGTGCAGTGTCCGTCTGTGACCCTCATACTTTGAGATGCCTATCTTTGGTATTTGGGGTTGTGCTAACCTGCACAGCAGGCTTTCATCTGCGGGCGACGCCTGGTTGCGCGTGCTATACTATTAGTTTACATTCCGCGCGCTTATCACACGCGCGTTAACACTTTCACACTTCATAGCGGACATTATTCTTCTGCAATTTGTAAAGTTGCGACAGTATGTCTCTAACGACACTGTTGGCCCGTCGGTAAGACGCGGGATTTTGACAATCAAGATTTATGGTTCCTTCAAATTATTAAACAGATAACGTGCTAACTGCAGTTCCTTTTTGATTGCGGGCCGACGCACGTGCAATTTATGAAATATTGCGGAATATTGAATGTCTACTGTAAATACAGTGAATATATCTTTAGCCCACCCATGTTGTGGTCGAAAATATTATAGTATCGCGCGCTGAAGTACGTGTTTTTACGTTATTTACGCACGTCAAAGTAAACGTTCCTAAGTCAGCGAAGTAACATGATGGAACATGATTTCTAACATGATTTTTGTGTGCATTTCTTAATGGGGTGTTGAAATTTCGTTTTTTGTACAAACATTATCCTGCGCGCATATTTTTTTTTGAAGGTGTACATTATACAAACTCTGCTCGAACTACGCCGAGTATCACATTAAAGTTTTTGGAATATGAAAAATAGAAATTCCCGGAGATTGCAAAATGTTTTCACGCATTTCATGGCGGATATAATTAATTTTAAGAATTATAAGAAAATATTTGCGCCAAGTCTTGGCCGTTTTTGGGTCAATCTACAGTATACCACGTAGAATATTAGTGCTCTTTGTTCAATTGACATTGAAACGTGGGACAGATATAGTGGTGCTTTCGTGAAAAAATAATTGCGCAAATTCAAAATCACCTCGCTCCAATGTTGCATTATTTACTGGGAAGTTGTCGACAAGACAACAGAATGCAAAACCACTTCGTATAAAATGCAAATTCTCATAACATGAAGGGGGATTACATTTCCAGCGTAATCGCTTCATGAATTTTGTCACTGATTATGTATAAAAATCTCCAAGTTGTTTTAAATATAGTTAAGTCGGCTTTTTCAAAAACGAAACAATCTGTCATATTGACATTAAGCATGATTTATGATTTCAGCAATAGTTTAATTTAAATGCCGTAACACACTGTAGCAACAAGCCAACAAGCCGCGCTTCCCCCGTAAACATATAAGAAAAGCGCGTCTCATACGGAAGATTGGTCTTTTTAAACGAAAATCCTGCGTGGAAGTTGTTGTATAAACATTGAACGGAACAATTTGTTGCAGTCGACAGAAATCACGCCTCTGTCTTTAAACAATAACGGAAACGGCAAGTGTCATTGATTTATGATTTGTGTTTCATGGCTACAGAGCGTTATCTTTTTTCGAAATATTGCCTCGGCAGCCACAAACAATCTTCCACTGAAAGCGTCTTCCATATTTTCATCGAGAAAAAGGCATTTGACCATTGGCATTGTAAACAACATTTGATCCAAAGAGTGCACATAACAGCGTAACATGTTATTCGTACTTCACAGGAATGTGACTGAAGTATTAAGGGGTAAAACATTGATCCACGCATTAACATGGCTCATGTACGATATTTCCATGCAAATCGCACATACCTTCATTTATAAACACATTTTAATTGTTGCATTGTCAATATGTACACGAGTCAGAAAGACGCAATCTCTTAAAGTTTAATCCTTTAATAAGCGCAGTATTTAGGCGAGAGAGGCCCAGATAGACGTTTTATATATTCCCCTGGTATAAGAAATGGTTTCAGTTTGAGGTGTCTGCATTTACCCGGCTGAAGGCTGTGTTGAACTACCCACTGACATTTTACGCTTAAGATGTTTCATTTTAATCCTAAAAATAAGCTAAAAAGGTCAACAGTCTCCTTGACTCGTTATATATCTTTCTGGACTAAAACTTGACACCTGCACTTGAGACGCCGAGACACCTAAGCGGGATAAGGCTAATTTTACTGTTTCTTTGATCGAAACTATGACTTCACATCACAATGATGATCACAGAAACTGCGATAGTATACTTCGTCAAGTCTTGGAAGGGATTTATCTTATTGAATCGTTGGAAGTGTAGACTTTTACACTAGGGTGTCGAGAATTTCTAGCGCGCAAGTAATTCTGAACGTTTGCATGAAGACATGCGTAAGATAGTTAGCGTGGTTAAAATGTCAATATTTTGAGAACATGATGGGTTTAGAGAATTTTTATAAAATAGCAGAGATTTTATCTTCTTTAAAAGCCTTTTTTATCTTAGAATTTGTAGCTGCGAGAGTGCACGAGTCTATAGCAAGACACGGGATTAATATAATAAATTGGCAGGCATATTTTCACAACGCAGGAAAAAAACTGTTAGAAACTTAGTTTATTTCAACTGGGAATCTCATTTCTCCTGTATATGATGAACGGTGTCCTGTACATGAATATATTTGCATATATTTTTTTTCAAACCTCGTTTTCGTAGACTCTTTTGACATCTTCTGTTTCCTCGGCTCTCAGCTGTACCCAACCTAAAAACAGCAGGAAAATAGCAAAATATAAGTCGAGATTTTGTTTCTATTTGAACTCACGTACAATTCAAAATTGATGTCCAAGGTGAACATGATCAGTATATTTACTAATATTAATGTCAATACACCAGAAAACCGCTTATTAAATATCCATGAAGTCACTTACATTGCTAGCCATAACACGAAGACTGCACAATACTTTTTTACCGAAATTCTCATATCTAACACCTTCTTGACGATATCTTAAGCCTTCTTAATAATCTGTGTTGATCTCAGCTTGCTCCAGTCGAAGCAGTAATCCCGCTATGTATAAATTACACCAAAGTTCTTGCAGTAATAAAGTCTATACGGCTGCCTTGAAAATCTGTGTTGTAGAGCGACACAAGTTCCGTGCGATTTTGAGGCAAAGTGTTTACGCGGTTTTGATAAATAGCGTTTTATTTCACACCTGGGTTTTGGGACACTATGACGACGCTGTGAATAATGATTTATGGCCGTGTGTGGTTACCCGCAACTGCGCGCGGGCACGGACGGCGTGAGGATCGCCTCTCTAGCGCGCGTTACGAAAAACCTAAATCAATTTAACATGTTACATGTTGTTCATACTTTAGTGTATATCTGACATTTCGACGGATTTCAAGTTTGAAACAGTCTGATATGCATGCATGTGTGTATATAAATACGTGATCTTTCGAGTCAATCATGCTGATCTCGGTGGTCAGTGATGATAAAATCGCCTCCGCAATCATCTCGTAGTCCCTAAACCTAGACTAAGAGATGCCTACGGAAGAGGATGAGAAAATGAATACTCAACTGAAATTTGGCTATTAGCCTTCTGACGAAGCCTTCGTCCAAAACTGTTCAATCTTTTGCTGAAGAATACTATCTACACTGAATCCCCGGGAGTCCGGTGTATACGTAGTATTCTATAATAAATTGTTGTGGTTTGTACTGAAGAACTCGCATGGTTTATTAGTTCAGTGTTGTCGTGATTTGTGTATGAACTATCTGAAAAAGATATCAAACGTGATACTGTACGTGAAAAATAAGAAGGAAGTTCGACATTTCGAGCGAAGGCCGAATTAGGGCCTTTGCTCGAAACGTCGAAGTTTGTTCTTATTTTTCACGTATTGTGACACTATTATGTGCTAAGTGTCTCATTTTGCAGAACGAAGTGACACATCATGACGTCATTTTAGTTTTATTTTATTCAGAATATTTATTTTAATCCGTGGAGTTTTTGTTCTTTAGTCTTTGTTGTTTAGCAGAATGATTTTCCAGCTTTGTTTCCAGGCTGTCTACAGAAAAAGAATTGAGAGATTGGAACCACTGGTTCTTCTGTACAAGGGAAGGTATTCGTGCAGACAATGCAGGTTAGGTGTACATCTAACGAGCGCCCATTGTCTGGGAGAAAGAGCCGTTTCATTTGGCTTTGAAACGTCTTTGAGTGTGTGATACAGCTATTCCAATTAGTATTTAAAACGTCAGCCTATTTATGGACGTTTATTAGGACGCTATCAAGATTGCCTTTGTTAATATTGCTCGTGAATCAATCATTAATTATTACAATTATTACTTATTAATTATCACAATTATTACTTGTTAGAATTATTAGTATTATTAGGATTATTAATTAGTAGAATTATTACTTATTAGTATTATTAGAATTATTAATTATTTATGATTGAGTTACCACATAATGCTCTGGTTAAGATCTTCTTATAAGACTTGATATGATGACCAGGGATTAGACACATTCCTGCAAATGTTTTGTCTTCACACGAAGAAACAGGCTCACACTCTAAAGTTTGTACAAAAAATAAAATACAACTCATTTTGATGTTTTAAAGTTTTTATCAACAGAAATGATCTCACGTAAAAGAATCAACAGGTTGTGAACGGTTAAGAAAAGAAAGATTTTTGGTCTCAATTTTTCACACCACTTACCCCCAGATTCATCTGTTACTGTATGTAATCCATTAAGTAACTCTCGTATCATCGTTGTCCTGAAAAACGTACACACTAGAGATATCATTTACAAATATTAGACATTGCTTGGGGCAGTGGGTGAGCCCGGCTCACAATGGAGAAGTAAGGCGACTCCTTCCCTCCGCTAGCCTAAAGGTAGACCATGTCTTTGGTAAACTGCTAAAAATCGCTGATTTGCTGAGACAATCAAGTTAGGTCTGATAACCAGAAGCAAGTACAGCAATAGCACCAAGCACTGCCTTCGTAGAAACAAGAACTGGTTTGCAGGTACAAACTGTGTATGTTACTGCAGGTGAATTAAAGAGCACCTACGAAATGCTAGTCTGACGTTCTACCCATTAACTAGTGACCCAAAGCTCAAGTACATTGGCTATTTATTTCCTGACTTATTCCAACCAGCAAATAGTCGACGACAACAGCAAGAACAACAACAACAATACTAATTATGAGTTAGTAAAACGTCTAATAATTACTTGATACTGCTTGTTGTCCAAAGTCTTTGATATGAGTTGGAAATCCTCTGTAATTCATCTGCAAGAAGAAAAAGTGACCTTAGCACATCTTGCCATCTTTTCTCAACTCATATCAAAGAGTTACCTGGATGATCATACTGCCAGTTTATGTCCTTGTATTCACAATGAAATAAGACCAGAGGAATTTCTAGAAATGCAAATAGTCACACTGGAAACTTCTACGAAATCTATTTTTACACTATCGGTAAAAACATTTGTAATTTTCTTATCCCATTTTCAGCCATTTGATGGATTTGTGCGCACATACCAGATGCCATATTGTACTGTGGTCGTCGGGGACATTTTGTTATGTTCAACATATGATCAATGATCTACACACAAGAAAATGCAACTTTGAGAGATGTACTTGACGAAGAGGTCCAAGACTGACGCCCGTATTCTAAAAGCTCACTCACACTCAATGAGTGGAGGTTCAATCTCAGCTTCTCTTGAGTGTCAATGCTATCATAGCTAGAGAGGGTGAGTAGCCACATAGTAAGGTATGACACTAGTCTTCCAGCTATTCAAAAGCAACAATCACACTCGAGAGAAGCTCAGACTGAACTTCCACTCATTGAGTGTGAATGAGCTTTTAGAATACGGGCGTGAGTGTGTTTAGTACTGAGTGTGTTTAGGTATACCTGACCAGCATTGAGGGTGTTTGGGTATACTTGACCAGCATTGAGGATGTTTAGGTGATATCTCACCTCTGGTTCTTCTAAGTTTTCACCAATAAGAAATAAGATTGCAACCATACATCTGACTTGATGCCAAAGAAACGCCATACCCCTCACTGTCATCACACACATCTCGTATTCATTCTCACTACAATGTATTATCAGAAGATATAAGTAGAAAGTAAGAAATTAAAGAAAATGTAGTTTCTCAAAAACTGAGCTATCACTACAGGTGGCCAAATGGGATTAATACGTTTCCAACTCACCTAGAATTATTCAGTCTTTGAACATCTACAGATAAAATATTTCTACAAAAAGACGTGACATTATTCCCAACATCCATCTGCAAATAAAGAAAGTATCACTGACATTACCAATTCTTGGTAAATTGAAAGAACATTCTGCGGTACCTTGCAAAAATTTCGAAAATCATGTTCACCAATAAACTTCTTTCCTGCTTCATTCATTCTCTGAAAATTTAATAAATTTTAAAAATGCCACTACAACTTCACGGTTTTGTTTGTGAATCTGGTTTTAATAGAACCTATAATTCAAATAGTTAAAAACGGTTCAATTGTTAAGCTTTAACATTGTCCCTATTTTCTCATTTCGTTCTTTCTTATTTTCTCTTTCTTTCGTTATTCATTCATCCATTCCTTCCTTTTTTCCCATTCCTTTCATCTTTTCTTCCTTCTCATCCCTCCTTCCCTTTCTTCCTCCATTATTTCTTTTGTTTTACTTTCTTCCTTCGTTTTTTTCCTGTTACTTCCCTTCCTTTCTAAGGGCCTGTTCATATGATCCCGCTTACCGGGACGTCCCGCTTACCGATGATCTCGCCGCCTATCTATTTTCCTATAAAATTTTGCATTGTGTTCATATGAGAAAGCAAGCTGGCCCGCTTGCCGAGATCTCGTTTGAATTTGCCGAGATCATAGGTAGGCGGGATGAAAATTTTTCCATATGAACACGCCAGCCCGCTTACCGGGATGAAGTCAAACAAGTCTTGCCGGTTTAATTTAACACTTTTTACTTGGTTTTATGTTTGTTTTGTAAACAAGTATTAAATAAGTACCTGAAGCAATACTTTTTCTTGTAAATAAACGAAGAAAAACACTAAAATCGCTAAGTATTTGTGTTGCTTGACTGAAATGTAGAAGTTTTGCATACGCTAATTATAGAACTACATTGTAATTTCATCCCGGCAAGCGGGACGAAATACTCCATATGAACGCACGGAAATATTCGTCTCGGTAAGCGAGACGTCCCGGTAAGCGGGATCATATGAACAGGCCCTTGTAACCACCACCACCAACAACAAAATTTGTACCTCTATATCAAAGTTAGCAGCTGGAAAATAGTATTTGTACATTCGATAAAGACAGCTAAACCTATAAAACAAATATAAAACATATTTCTACGTATTGCAAGTATACAAATACATTTTGCCAAAGGGAAACTTTGGTCTTACCCTGCATTTGCTGAAATTATTAGCTTGAAAATGGATTGGGTGAAATGCTATACCTAGCCTTAAAATCTAGCGCAACTGGTGCCCAGGCCAACACTCGTATTTCATCTGGCAAAAGTTTATTTATAACGTGAACATAATTTAGTTCTTCCTCATTTTTGTTCACTGTATTATCATGAGTGCTCAGTTCTTTATTTTGAATTACTCCACAACCCTCGTCAAGATTGCTCCTAACTTCAAGTGAAATGACCTAAAATATAAAATACATAATTATCTGCATTTTAGTGTGTTGATATAAACTGACTTTAAAACCTAGCTAGTACTGTTTATATGGTCAGGTCTGCAACAAATTTTAAGGTAAATATACATCAAGTATACAAACGTTCAAAACACGATTTACCTGAGCCAAAGCACTGACCCCCTTGTCAGTTCTGCCACATCTGGAGTAATTACATGTCGTCCTGTCTTTAATAAGACAAGCTTTTTGTAATGCATTGAAGAAATGAGCCTTTAGAAAATTAAGTTAGTTTTAGTATAAATGCCTATTAAAACTGGGCTTTGGATCTTAGCGAGGGAGGAAACGGAGGACGAAGTATAAGAGAAAACAAACCACAAGGTCAAATGTCAATGATATAAAATATACATACCTCAATGGTATTTTCAATGTTTTCTTGACTTGCAAATCCATGGTAATCCCAGCCCAGATAAGCGATCTTTAGTGCAATATGCCGTACATTATACCTGAACAAGTGTTGTTATAATTATTCACTGTAGTGTAGAATCTTTAAATGTTGGTGTGGGGATGTACTGTAACAAACATTCCGACTTTAAAATGGCAATTTCAGGGAAGTTTACGACGTATACATCCAATTTTGATAAGAATGTTTTAATTTTAAACTGATTTTCTTAATGATAAGCAGATCTGTTTGAAAAATAGAGAGATTCAAGTTGGGAGGAACGTATGGAAACTGGGAGTGATCATATCGGGAGCGTTTGAACGTACGCGCCAGCAAAGAGAATAATTAAAACACTTTATTGTTTTAAGCAAAGGTCCCTGCTTCAAGAGAATAAAAATAAGGGCCCCAGTTTTTTTCTCAAGTGCTGTGGGTTGTTCCATAAAAAGGATTGTCGCTACCTCGAGCTCTACAGAAGAAACTCGTGCAGTCCACAGAGGGGAAGGGGGCAGGAAAATCTACTTCTAATGTTTCCTGGAATGACCAAATATCACCAACTGCATACTTTGTCCATACTCTGTAAGACTGTACCTAGAAAAATCAAATGCCTTTCTCTTCTTTAACTTTGGTTCATTGCTTTTCTTTGCTTTCTTATTTACAGATTGTGATGATGGAGTTTCAAATGTGGACAGACGCTCTTTTAGTTCTCTGTTTTGATTTTCAAGTTCTGTTAACCTGACTAAGAGTTCCTGTTAATTACAAAACAATATTGTTAGTAGCTTGGGCTTTGTGCCAGAGTTTAATTGTAGAGTGTAAAAGTTATGGAATGTAAGAGCTAGCTGGAAGAAAAGTTGAACTGACTTTTGTTCACTATATTTGCAGTATCTAATGTTACAAAATGCTACAATTGCCTCCCTTAACTTTTTTCTTGTTTTATTTATATGTATTTGACATTTACTCCAGGAGCACAAGGCTCATCCTGGAGCATACAACCTTATGTAACTATGAAGATGATAAGGAAGATTCATTAGCAAAAAGATGAACTATAAAATTGCTGTCACAGCAGGTGATTTTGCAGCAGAAAATGGCTAAAGTGCAAAATGTCAACATTAAGTGGTGAGTAGTATAATATTGCAGGAGGATACGTCACATGGACCTGACTGTTGCGGCAGCTGAAGCACACTTTCTGCAATGGATTATGGTTAGGATCAAGTTAGTTAAGAAATTGCTGGATAAATCATTGTGTCGTTAACATCCTTGCAAGCCAGACTTGAGTTTCATAATTTGGGAGGGAAGGGGAAGAAGAAAGCCAGGCTTGCAAGTTTGTGTAAGAAAATGCTTTCATCCAAAATGCGTCCAGAATAATTCCTGATTTTAAGGATCAATTGCTGTATATGAATGATTTTAAGACTCTTGTCTTGCTGTTTTAAATCTAAATTCTTTGTAACTTTAACCCTAACTACTGACCCTCAATAAATAGAAAGACGTGAATCAATAACCTGTACGACCCTAAAACAGTCCTGTGTTACAGCACGAACTACCTTGTTCTTCTAAATCTTCTATAAATATAGTAAATAGTAAATCACATTTCATTCACCCTGTCTCTCAGGACTGGTAAATTTTAAAAATAGGACTAAAGAGATTTCTAAAGCAGTTCTACTTAGTGTCGACGTCTTCTTCTATAATATAAGGTGTCGTCTACCTCTATAAATGATTTTACCTCTCTTGAATCATCTCGCTTTCTTTTCGTTCTTTCCTCCATGTTTTGTTGATAAACACTCCAGTTGTAACTACTAGCACAGTGTTAAATAAACTAGTACTTGGTGTAATTTTCAATTATAGGAGATAGTGAAAATTTAAAAATGGCGGCAAGTGAAGAAGTAGACGAGTTTGCAGAAATAAATTATTACGCAGTTCTGAACGTCAGTAGAGAGGTAAACTAGTTTATTACGATATAGGAATGCTTGAAATATATAATTGAGTATATAGTTCGAGATGTAGTTGAATTATTGTGGTACATTGCAGTCTTCACATTTTATATATTGATATATTGTTAAACCATTTTAAAATTTATAAGTTGCATTGCGCCATACCCTGTTTTATTATTTTACTCTGTCTAATGCCAGACAATTTTACTTATCAAAGGGATCGCACTGGTGCTCAATGGGTTAATAATATGTGACAGCTAGGGTGTATTTCACCATTTTGATGCATGTAGAATGATATTCATACGTACATATGATCATTATGACATACACCAAGGAAAACTAATATGTGCTCCAGTCTGGGAAGTTCACTTTTTGTATGCCAGATGTTGACTCAGGCACATGAAAATCAAAATTCGTTTTTATTCCAAATTTGGGGTCCTACTAAAGAATGCCCGGGAGTTGGGAAAGAATGCCCGGGGAAAATACGTTCATAATTACGTTAGTTTATACTAATAAAATCACTTATTTTATGAAAGATTAAATAATTATTGTAATATATGGCATTGCAAAGTACTGTTCACGGAATGTCCGGCTGTCACAAATGAATGCCCGGGAGTCGAAAATGAATGCCCGCGGTAAAATTACGCAAGTAATTACGATAGTTATAAATGATAACATTAACAAGTCTTTTATTTTT